AACTAGCATAACATGAACCTCAAATATCTGTAAATCTATTTTTTAGATGCTGTAGTCCAACACTATATGTTATTTCTGTTAGGAAAAAAAAAAGTTAGGCTCATATTGTTTGCCTTCTGCAGTTATCAGTCTAGGAGGAGTAAAAGCAGAAAATATTTTTGTAAAATAGCTTTGAGTAAGTAATGAATGTCTGGTCGAATGAAAAATGACATACATTAGTTACATCAGGTTTGTAGGTGACTGGATGGATGGACCTGCAAACATATAAAGGTTCATAATGCAGCAGAGATACAGCAAATGCTTCTCTGACTCACTGGTGGCACTGAAGCAACATCTCATTTTGGACATAAACCCAGGAGCATTTTAAGTAGAAAAATAAAAATGTTGAAGCCTTCACAAACATCTAGTAAATCTAGTTTGTGATACAAATTGCACCTCTTTGTTTGGCTGAATTTTTACATGCTTTGTGTTTTGCACTTCTGTAAAGAGGGATGGTGTGAAAACACTGAAATGAGCCCCTGAAGTTTTGGAATAGCAGAATTGTGTGGGGTTCAGGACCCACGTGCATGTCGGCAAATATTATGGCATTGCATAGATCTCTTGTACTAGAGTTACCGATGAACCAAAAAATAAACGAGGTTAAAAACGTCCCTCTTACCCACAAAAGACAGGTAACTTTGTTAGCCTAAAATAGGAGAAAATCTCTTGAAGCAACTCGTTTCTCAGCGAAGCTTCCTACTTTAAAACTCACGAGCTGAAATTACGAGGGACACTTGTGAGGGTTTTTTTTCCCAGATGCCAATATGCAACCAACCCCCTGTTTGTTTAAGCGGCTAAATGGACATGAATCACGCTGACATTCGGGATGGGTGCTCAGAGTAGAATAGCGCTTAGCAAAGAGAGCCTGAGGCCACACATTAACCAAAGGGAAGCAAGCTGAGCGCTGCCTGCCCATTTATCTGAGCATTGGCCGCCCCAGGAGAGGAGCTGAACACAAACCCTCCGAGAGGATTTGTCCCCGGGCTCTCAAATTTGTATTTAGAGTAGCACGGGCTGCCCACATCTTACATTTCCCAGGTTTTTACTGCTTGTGTTTGAGTTTCACATGTTGTTAATGCTTGTCGGAGGGAAAAGGGATGGGGACTTGGTTGTGATTCTTGATTGCAGTCTGTTAGTAATTCTTTGAGAGACTTGGACCTTATGCACTCCAAGATAAAAGGGGACACCCCTGTCTTGCAGGAGACCTCCTTGCAAGGAGGGATTTAGCTGGAGGACATAGTGCTAACGCAAATTTGCTGGCAAACTGTGCTTTCTCCTGAAACTTCGTAATACTTGAAGGAAGGGTCACTTCAGGAAATCTTGACAGGCTCTGTGACTAACACAGGGAGTTTACTGACCTCTGTCCATGCAGCAGAATTCATGGAGTGATAGGTTTGTGATGGAATTATGAGTAAGACTGGACCATGTGATGAAACGAGCATCAGAGTTTTGATCCATCATCATTCACATGCCTTCTGGAACTGGAAGTGGTATATTCACAGCAGTGCATGCCTGTGCCTAAGATAATAAGTGCCTTCCATTCTGCTGAGAAATGTGATGTGTTCTCTCTGCTCTGTGGTGTACCAGCTGGGTATATAGCAGAAGGGAACAGTGCCTGGGTTCTCTGCACTATGTGGGGTAGACAAGTCATTAATTTATCAGTATTGGTACTGATTTTCCTCAAGGATCTAAATTTCTCAAGTATGACAAGGGAAGGATGATGCTGACTCCTGTTTTTTTCAGATGCAAGGCTTCCCAAATGCTATAAGAACACAGGACCTGATTCTTTCATAAATGCCTGGCACCATGGTTGAGATTCTGGCAGACCTTCCCAAAGCCACTGGGAACATCCTCCAGTGTTATCCTGGTGCTGCTGGGTAATTCTTCACTGTGAGGCTCAGACCTAAAACCTGGGGTATATATAGCAATAGGCAGAGATCACAAATATCTCTAGAATTCATGGGCTTCAGAGCCTGTGCCACGTTGGGATGCAAAGTTACCTGGAGTACATCATTCTATTATTAAAATACAGTACATTGCTCTAATCTCTTCCATGACTGGTGAAGTACACGTATACATCACAGTCTAATCACACTTGCAGGCACCTAAGAACGACTCTAACATTACTTCAAAAGCCCACCAATGATTTTTTTTACTTTTCTACTGATTCATTCTCCTTTCTTGTGCATGGCAGAGTATGATTTATAAGAACTGGTATGTCTGCTGGTGATGTGTAGTAACATGCCGTTCAGCAAGGAAAAAAGAAGTTTCATCTTGTTAATATTCCATATTTCATTTTGTTGGCTCAGTGAACCTTTACATATGTATTCATGAGACTGAGCCTGTAGATGAATGTGGAGATAGAATTAGCAACAGAACCAAATGCAGAATGTTAAAAATGATCTGTAAAAGGTCTCAAATTCTTCACTTCTGAGACAAGAATTACAACTAGACTGGAAAAATGGCACCAGGTAAAAGAATTGCAGTGACACTTAACTGTAACAATTGAGAAGAAAGGCAGAAATCCTAGTCATTATATTTAGAACTTCAAGGTCATAACATTTTAGTTGTTCTCAGATGTTACAGCATGGGGAATTAAATAATTGTACCCAGAGATACACATGCATTAGTTAATTTTATATGATTTTTCCATTAAGGTTTCATTTCTCTTTGGTGGAATTGAACTCTTAAAATAAATTCTTTCTACTAATTTCCTTTTTAAGACTATCATGTAAATAGATTACATTGAAGAATAATAATTTATTTTCATTCTTTCTTGCTCTGTCTTCATTTGAATGACGGAAATAATACCAGAAGTAGAAAATAGTGCAGATGTAGTCCATTCTAGTGTCACAAAACAGAAAAAGAAAAAAGTAAGGCAACAATCTATAGTTTTGACATGCCTAAATTACTCGTAGGAGTTAATACCTATTTTTCCCTGTCAAATTCTTGCTTGAATTTCACAGTGGTTTACAAGTAATTTACGTGCAAAACATTGTAGCAGGCATACAAGATGGTATCTAATTATTCCATTCAGAGAAATTTTAAAGCTGCAAATTTTAGGCCTTCAGACATGCCACATGTTATGGTCTGAATGCAGGGTATGACAAAAAATGTTAGGGATGCTGATTTTATAAGTTCGGGTTTTCCAACACAAAAATGTTGCAGGATATAGGGAGTAAAATCCTGTTAAATTTACAGGGCTGAACACAAACAGGTTTGGGAGATCTTTTGCTGTGTGCCAATCAGAAAGAGGGAATTTATCAAGCCGCTACTGTAGCTTGAATTAAAGTACCATAGAATATGTGTTTTAAACAACTTGGTATTAAAATGTTTAAATGTTTGACTTCAAACAGCAGAAAGGATCTGTTTTAGGCTGATGTTGAGCTCTGTCATTGCAGGCAGCTTGACATCACTCAGTTTTAGGTGGTGTAAGTAACTTTTTCATGGTGGATGCATTAACTGCTCTTTAATTCTAATTTCTCCAAAAGTGCTGTTTTCAGTGGAGCCTTTTTTTGCATTTCCAGTAACATGCAGGAGGTAGGGAATGGAGCCATTTTTAGGTCAGTCGAATCCTAAAAATGCTGTCAGACACAGCAGAGAGAGAGAGAGAGCAGATTTATGGAACCAGGCTCAGGTAGTTTGTGCCATGTCAGAAATGCCATCAGTAATCAAGGGGTGGAGAGCACTCCCTAAAACACCTCCCTCAAACACACAGACTCTGAGAAGTGACTCTGTTGTTTGCTATTTCTGTGTTTCAGTGCTTCATCTCAAACTGTGATTCTGCCTTTACATGGAATAAAAATGGTATGTGCTTGCATGTATATTGCTTCCAGTGACTTTGTTTGAAATATTTTTAATTGTCAGAAATGAAAGTGAGGAGAAGATGTCAGCAAACCCTTGGAAGCTTTGTCTGCAGTCTGAAAGCCAAAGCTCTGCCTTTTCTGGTTTATGCCTCATCAGTCATGAAGATTTTGCAGTGAGAGCTGAGTTGATGCCAACGCTGGTAAGCCAAAATTGAACCCAGCTCACTTTTCTAGGACTCGATTAACTTTGCAGCACTAGCAGGACTAAAAATGAATAACCATTTATTTTAGTTACTAGGGGAATCAACCGTGTCTTCGAATTTACCCCGGTAGGAGCACAGTTAAATAAAAAAGGCATTGAATGCAGAGTAGAATTGTGCTTTAATGGTGAAGGAACGCTGCTCTGGGGTTGCTGGCTCTTAGTTCTGTTTCTGTATGTACATGCATCCATCACAGAGACAAGATGGGCCACAGGGCTCCTTCACTTCATGTGATACAGTATTTGGCAGTGCACTGATTGTGCCTAACTCAGAAATGTGTGCACAGTGATACCTACCGGCACTATTTACAAAGTTCCCATTGCCAAAATGTATCTTTGCAGCCTTACTTGCATTGCTTTCTTTAAAACATTTGTTTTGCAGCCATGGGAAATGCTACACTAAAAAATCGGGGTTTAAATCAAAAATATCTTGCACTAATTCATCCAAAGTGTGTGGTCTGCTGTTCATACTACAAACAAATATTTGAGGATGTCTAAGTTAGGTCTGTAAAATTTAGTCAAAGTCTTAAAGACCGGTCAAAGAAGTATGAACTGTATCAATTTATACAGTTATGTTAATCTACTGAAAGAACGAAAAGAAAATAAGAAGACATTTACATTGGTTTTCCACATTCTTAGTTTATTTGCAGTATTAAGTACTGTTTGCTGTAGTAATCAAATAAATACTCTGATTTAATCTCCTCAGCTAAACAGAATTTTGCTCCCGTTCAGCAAACCGCTGAGTGTTGTCCAGGTTCAGCACAGGGAAGCAAGGCTTGGATCTGACTCATCCTTATTTGCCATGCACGTGTAACTCATGCACAGAGCTTTCAAAGGCAGTAACAGCACCATCAGCTGACAGTGCCCTTCATGTTACAGATGGGGAACCTGAGCAGGAGGTGCTACAAGGCAGAAGGATGCCAGAATTCAGGTAAGATCCACGAGAGAAAGGTAATTGAAAAATACTGTGGTGAGATCTGTCCAAATACTCAGCAGTGTTTAATCCCGGACCTCTAGAAAGCTCTTTGCCACTACAGAGACTATGCAATAAAAGTTTCACAGGTTCTGAAAGCCTGTTTTAGGGCCTGCCCAGATGTATTTCATGTCTTAAATTGCTAGCTCTGTCCAGGTACATTAGGGTCCCTTTTGGAGTTGTGCTGCTGGACAAGTGTTACTACACTTACTGAACTTTTCTGCATCTACCTAAAGTGAGAAACACAGTCCAGTGTGTCCTTGTGTGTGTTATTGCACAGAGAAAGTGCCAGGAGTTCAAGCATTCAGCTATTGGTAACAGTATGAAAATCCAGCTCAGTAACCTACAGTGCCAAACCAGATATTAAATCAAAGCACATCTGAAGAGTACAAGTTGCTCATAATAAAAGATGTATTTCTATGTTTTCTGGCATCACATTTGAATTATCTATTATACCACATATAACAGCAGGGCTCAAAATATTTTTATGTCTGAGTAAGTTACATTTCTTCCATAATAAACATTAAAGATATGCTGCTGTATTTAATTTCTGGAGAAAATGAAAGGCAAGGAAGTAGAGAAGTGGTTTCAATAGGTTATTTTAAACTTCTCATGCTATGCAGAATTGGACAGTAAATAAATGAAGTTTTATGGAAAATCAGTTAATATTCACTGATTCAAATTTGGCTTTGCCAAGGACATTTCATAACTCAAAAATATTCTGCAATACCTTTATTTAATTACTACATGACAAAAATATGGAGGCTTGTAACCTATATAATGTTTAAGTGGGAAAAAGTAAGAGTGGTCTTGAGTTACACTCAGGTCAGTTCATCCTGCCCAGCCTAAAGTTCAGTACCAAGTAAAAAGGTTCAGATGCTCTTTCCTGTCTACTCCACCAAGATCCTCTTCACAGCAGGAAGCCTGACCATGTAGATTGGGTATCAGACTGGCCTTTTCTCAGATAACAGAAGGCAGGTTTTGAGATCAGCTGCCACTCTCAGTGGCTGAGAACTAAATTCTCTGGGAGGAAAAAAAAAAAAAAGCCATTTCTTTCAAGTTGAGCTTCAAGGGAAAGAAACTAAAAAGAATTGGATCAAAGGGCAATAAATGCTGAAGAGGCTTCTCTGAAAATCACGGTGCTGTGCCAGTTTTTGGATGCCTGTGGACAGTTAAATAAAGCAAGAAACAAAATCCCTCCAAAATGTCTTCTTCTGCCTCATGCATTCCTTGAGTCCCTTTCCAAATGAATTCTTCACTGACCCGCTCAGGCTCTGATAGCTCAAACAAGGTGACTCTGCATGAGAGCAGAACACAGAACTGGCTGCCAGTTTGGTGTTCTTGGGGCTATTTGCAAGTGAAAAGAGGAGGATAAGAAACTTGCATAGTCTGCTCGTGATTTTCTCCATTCAGAAATATTGTATTATTGGATAATACAACAGAGAAACTGAAAAAAATTGTCCAGGGTACATATTACCCTCTTTTTTCCCCTACTGGATTGGATAGGGAAAACCTAGCAGGGCTGGAAGAAGGCACAGAGAAATGAAGGTAGACAGGAGTCCCCTTGCAGGCTTTTGTCTCACAAACTTCCTAAAATTGTCCTTGCTTCTGGAAGGGACAGATGGGTTGTAAAGGCTGGAGACTGAGTGCCCACAGACACCCAGCAGCTATTTATACACACAGCTTCTGCTTTGCTGAGCAACCTCCAAGGGACACTGTCCAAACAACAGCTCTTCTTAAGTGAATTATCTTCTCTGGTTTTCCTACATGGAAATGTGGCCAAGGGAAAGGTAACCTTTCCAGCTGGTCAGGCCCCAAACTCTTCCAAAACTCCAAGAATCTTTGTGTGGAGCCGGTGCTTTAATCCTTCCTGTTGTAAAGGCAGCATGTAAATACATCCTTCCTTAAAATCTGTACATCACTTTGAAATAGAGGTGATAAACCACAGGTATTTCTTCACTATGTCGCAACTTGCAGGGTGCTGCCCCTCCTGTTGTGATTTTTCTGTGATAGGAAAAGCTCCCCCTTTTAAAACTCTTTTGTTTCTGCCTCTTTTTTGCAAGCTTCTGGAGCTGGCCAAGGCAATGTGTCCCCGGGTTTTCAGACAGGTCAGATTTGTTACCACTTATTTTGCTGAATGATGGTCTCTTTATGATTTCTTGCAACATTTCAAAGTGTGGGGAAAAAAAATAGTCCTGGCATATTTTAAAAACAGGTGTTAAAGGTTCAGTTTATAGATGACCAAATTTATAAATTGTGTAAAGCTTGAATTTGACAAAGAATTTGTTATGAAAAGATTTTAATGAAAACCTACCTTCACCAATACTGTACCAATTTCTTCTTTATTTTGAGGTTTAGGATATCACTGGGTGATGTAGCATCATGTTGGAGTCTTCCCAAAGGCAGTGATGAATTAGAAAGTGAGGTTTGATGTAAGTCATTAAGAGGCAAAGCACTGTGTGTGTAATTAGGTTGGGCACTATTTCCAGGGCCTAGCACAGGGTAACTCATTCGTGAACATTCTGCAGTGCTCTGTCCAACAATGACCCCACAAAGCACAGAACAGGAGTTACAAAACTAGTTAAAGCCTCCTGAGGACATGGGTATTAACCTGACAAACTAACGTTTTTCTCCCAGTCGTAAATATAAACCCAGTTCTAATTACTTCTGTTGTTGTTGTTGTTGTTTTTAGTAAGATAGTGACATGGATGGCATTTACTGTTAAAGATTTCATTAAAATATATGACCATTCTTGCATATATATAAAATTTGAATTAGTACAAGCCATAGAGATGAGTCAGCATTGTAGATTTATGTATGGTTTAATGCAGTGAGAAGGATCTTCTGAGAAGACAGAAAAAAATTATTTATATTCCCATAATTTAAGAAGTGAAGCCCCTCTGAGCAGCACCTGAGTACCTTGAAGGATATACAGGAGGACTTGTCATAAATTACCTGCGTGTAAAAGAAAGGTTATTCAGAGTAATTATGTAGGACAGTCTAATATAGTAGAGCAGGAATTTACTTGAGTCCATTAAAATCATTTGTGTCCTGTCAGAGAAAAATCAATGAGATGAATACACCAGGGGATTGCACTGGGCTCAGGAAAGGTGGAGCAAGTGGAAGATCCCCTTGGATGTGTGGGTAAGTCCCCCCAGATCACTGTTTGCTTGGGGCACTCATACTAAGTGGCTATTGAAATTTTGGTCCTGGGTATTTAAATCTCAGCTGCAAACCAGTGTATGTATGAAACACTTACTCTGGATTTCATCCTAAATGGACTAGTAGCAAAAATCACACCAGAAATCTGTGGAAAAACAGGGGTTATACTTACTAGGAGATCTGCAGGTTTTGTTAATGGAACAAGCAGAATGTGTCACTTCCTTTCTCACCAGCTTTCTCACCATCTCAACCCGTTCATGTCTATCTGCAAACTCTTTGGGAATAATCTTCTCTGTAACTGCACCTCTGAAAATCCAAGCAAATAATAAACTGTTAATGCATCTTCAGAGCATGTAGTAAGAAAACAAAAAAAAAGGAAAACAGAGTCCAAAACTGTCTGTTCTGTGTTGCATGCCCTGGGTTGTGCCATTAAGGAGTTGTGGGAAGATTTGATGCTGATTGTCTGTTGGCACAGGGTTGCAAGAAAGAGAGAGAACCAAGCTTTTCTTTCTTAGCAATTCTTCCTGGAGTGGCTCCAAAGAGAAGCTGCATATAGATATGCAGGAATTTTGATAACCTGCTACTGTAGGAGTCACCAACATATGGCATCAATCACATCCTTCTTTTGCCCTGCCTGCTGATGCTTCCACACTCCAGACATTCACATTCAATCTCTGCTCATATCAGCTCCAACATTTCTATCACAGCTCAAGATTTGTGAGTAGCCAAGTGCTTCTGTTTGCTCCGCTGCCCACAGTTGTGTAAGAGCCCATACATACCCAGGGTGGAGGTTTTTGTAATTCCTGGCTCAAGGTGCCAAAATCTTGGAGGTGTCTGTAAGCTAATAATTGAGAAAGTTTTAGCAGTTACGTCAACTGTGAAACCTCATTTTGATGCTGACCTTTCTGAAAAATACTAGTCTAAAAATACCATTATTGATTTAAATCTCTAAGCAAAATAAGTAATCTCAGGCCAAAACTTGGAACCTGTCATTTAGAAAACGTCGTGTTGTGACAACTGGGAAATTTCTTTTGCTTTTAAATGAAAAAAACAAAACCAAAACCCACTGAAATCAATCCCATACAGGGAAATCTTGAGTGTTTCAGTTTTGATCTTACTGAGGAAAGGTTCTTGTCACAACTGTGTGGGGTTTCCTTGATGTTGCACTAAGTTGTGTCCTGCACAGGGTACTGTGTGTGGGAAGAGCTGCTGGTGTCTATTTTTAACATATACAGGACTGTGTGTGGCAAATGTGGCAGGAGGAATCTCTTTCTCTGTGGTGTGTGAACTTAACACAGGTAAATGAGGAAATGAAGAACCCTGCAGTCTCATTACAGGGATCAATCCACCTGTAATTTTTCTGTGGGTTTTTTCTTCTGTAATTTTTTATGTTTTATGCGTTGTAATATTTTATGGGTGCAAAAAACTTAGTAGAATAACAGACAAGCTAAACAAAATAATGCTGTTCTCTGGCCTGCCATTGAGAAAGCCCATTAAGACTACAATTGATTTCATAGTATGTATTTTCTCATCTTAATTCCATTTTCCAAGAGTCCCTAATGGAAAAGAAACACCTGAGTGAGGAAATAAGCTTGAGATAATGATATGACAAGAAGAAAGAGCATCCACACATCCCAGTGGAAAATTCCTTCGGTTCTACTTCTGAAGCTATAGAGAAAAACTCTGTAAAAAATAATTGTCTTTCTCACTCTAAGACTATATATCACAGCAGAAATGAGTGCCTCTTTTTTCCCTAACCCACGAAGTTCTTTCACTTGCTTATCTACAGAAACTTTTTACATTTTTATGTCCTCCTAGAGAACCAAAACATTTCACACCACGCAGAGGGGCGGGGCTTTTCATGGGGAGTTTCAGGCAAGTGTCTCTTGTTAAGAGTATTATAGATTTTGGGGCTTAACAGAAGACCATGGGGGTTGAAAGATGTCGTGGCAGGTTGTATTTGAAATCCTCAAAGGGGTTTTGTCTTGGGGAATTTCTCATTTGTGTCCTTTGCCGGTGTTGGAAAACAAACTCCATTTTCACTGTGACATCTGTGTTAATGTTCAAATTAACTTCTGCCACTTTGGCACATTCTACTTCCTAATTTTGCAAGGTAATATTTTCAGTTAAGTTCTTCTAGGGTTTTCTAGACAATTTCCAGTTCTTCAGCTTCTTCTCAGGAAATAATAGGTTGTCTTCGCAGTACACTGGCTTGTACTTTTTAATGTTTAATGAAGCCTGCAAAGCACTTCTACAATTTTTCTAATCTGCTATTATTCCTGTAAGCCTCTATATAACCCTGTTATAGACACAGTTACTGGGCAGTGATTTAGCTGAGCTTTTATCAAAATTTTAAATGAGTGATGAAATCAACAAACATTTTTCATTCAGCTTTCTTCAGCTTGGTTAGTGGTAGCTGCCCTGCTAATAAGTAGGTGGTGACATAGCAGACAGAGAATATCACCACACCTTAAGGCTGCATTTTAAATTCCTTGCAAGTCTGCCTCCCATTTTAGCAGCACAGTTTTTATCTTCATTACAAAGAAAAAAAATATTAAGTGTTTTTTTAAAGTCTCATTTACATATTCCTGAGGAAAGCAGAATCAAAGAAGAAGCGTTTAGGAATTACTGAAGCATCTGATTAATTGCAGGCCTTTTTCTCACTTAGCTGCACATTAATCTTGAATTGCTGCCTCAGTCTTTCCAGTGACTGAAGGCTCCCCATTATTCAGGGGACATTTCCAGCTGTCTGTGTTGGTAGCAGCAAATGACACTCATAGGTCTTTGCTAAGAAGCTGCCTAAATCTGAAAGCAAACAGCACAACAGCACCATGACAGAGCCAGAACATCCTCTGGGGCTGTCTAATCCATCACTTGCCTGTGAGAGGAGTGCAATATTTTCCCAAATTCGTCTCCAGCAAAAGGAATTTGTGTGTAAAATCCCAGTGGGAGAAATTTTGTTGTAACGAACACCACGGGTAGGACTCGACTGTGCAGTTACTGCTGATTTACCCTGTTGTAAATAAAAGGGGAATATGATTTGATGCCTTGATATAAGAGAACATAACACTGTCTGTAGCACATTCAGCCCCCTCCTTTCTGTCACAGAAAAGGCTCACCTGGTTCTGGGACAGGTACCTTGTGGTGATGCCGGTGTGTGGACACAGGGACCAAGAATGAGTGCCAGGGGTGTGCAGGGAAGAGGGCGATTGTGTGAACACGTGTGATTTTAATGACCAGGTTTTAGCAGGGGTTACTTTTTGACTGCTCTCGGGATGGTGCCCAGCAGCAGCACATATTTCTATTGTGTTTGTGAACTCCTGACTCATAAATGCAGACAGTGTATACTGAGACAAAGGGAAAAGATCAAGTCTTCAAATGAAGGGATGTCTCTTCGTACTAGTTAAAGCCTGACCTACGTTTACCCAGCTAAATTTAAATTAAAAGCAGTGTATTTGTGATCGTTTTGCTTCATACATACCTGTTAGCTATTGGAAAATGTAGTGTTAAATATAATTCCTGACCCTTATCATTAGCAGCGTGAATTCCTTATTTAGACCTGCTTCCAGTGGAATCAACTGACATTCAGTTTCTCTTCTCACTGAGGCTGGGATTGAAAGAATCCATGTTGATGTGGGAAACAAAGGTAGCCAAATTTTTGAATGTGATTGAACATGTGTAATAAAGCATAATAACATCATTCATCTTAATAGGCAAGATAAAAAAAAATAGTTTTCATACAGCCTACAAGTAATACAAATGAATTAAAGTAATTTAATTGCAAAATATTTTAAAAGTCACAATGATAGTTTGAAAAGAACTGCTATGCCAAATTTTAATAAGATAATGACAACTTCATTAGCTTTAAAAATGTGTATAATTTACAGAAACGCTGTATTAGCATTGAGGTGACATTTTCTGTTTTATCCAGATTAAAATTGTGTAAATAGGCCATTTGAAATGCCCCTATTGTATATTAAAATTATCTGTCAGGGAATTAATTCTTCAGCTTCATGAGAGTTATCCTTATTCACACCAGAAGTCCCATTGACTAATGGCATTTTTCAAGCATAATCAGATGACAGTGGGACAAGTATCATAATTACTCATGTGAAAAATACCAGCTCCATCGTTCTTTGTTAAAATATTTGCTGACAATGGTTCTTTTCCTGCAATTTGCTGTTCAGGTGTTCAGTGCTGCACAGCAGGCAGAGGG